GTGTGACCTTTTCCAAAAGTAGTGTAATCAAATGGGAGGATCCCTGGGCTGCCTCATAGGAAATCATAATTTTTAAAAGCTGAAAACAATTCTTACCAGGTTTACAGTTTTTGGAAACATGGAGTTATGAGCAAACCATGATGTTTTAAAACACAAAAACTTGCATCCTAATTCTTATATTCTTGAGTGATTAAAAAAATGCCATTTCTGAAAACGTGATTGTTGTAACAAGTGTGTTTTTCTTTTATGTTTTCTTTTATTTTTTTTTATTCTGATAAGTGAGTTTTGGTAGAGTTGCAATATACCCAGTGTAAAACCTTAGTGTGTCATGGATCAGAACGGTGTTCACTGTGTGGAGGAGGTGGGCTTGACAACGCAATAGGATTCCAGCAAAAGCTTCCTTTTTTTCTCCAACTTCATAGAACCCTGCGGATTCTGGAGTATTCCCGTTGCCAGCCAGCAGAGGGCAGCAGGAGACCATAAATGAAAACATCCATGGCTTGCTGAGTCCAATAGCTGTCATTCCTCCTTTGCCCAAATCCTAACATGTAGCACTTCCAAAACTGGGGATCAGGGCTAGCCCACTTAATCGTTCACTAATTGATACTCAGAAGTGGCGGGCAGTACAACAAAGAACAAGACAATCGTCAAACACCATCGTAGTCAATGGTGCTGACCCCATTCAGGAGACAGACAGCTAACGACACATAAAAATGTTGCACTGAAATCAACATTCCTTCACTCTGGTTACATCTGGTTTTCCTTTTTAATTCTTTGAGTGGCCATGTCTGTCCTCCTGGGCTCTTCCAGGCACCGGACTGTACTTAGTGGTGGACTGGTTAGTTTTCAAGTATCCTGAGGCTGAATATATGAACCTGACAAGTTGTTTGGCTTCTGGAAATCTTCCCTTCCTTCTCTCCAGTAATGGGCTGCACCTGGACCTGATCGTGTGCCCACCCTCAATTCACAGAAGCCCCAATCCCCCGAACTAACGGTGCCGTTTTAAGAAGGTGATTAAGTTAAAATGCCACCTGTGGTGTGGATTCTTAATCCGAATGGTCTGGTGTCCTTGCAAAAGGAAATTAGTCGCAGCGGAGACCACAAGGGTGCGCTGAAGTGAAGAGCAGCCGCTGCTCCTGGTCTTGTGATGCCCAGGCCTTTTTTCTAAATCCCAAACTTTTAACCTCTTTGGAACTTCAGGGCATTTCTTGTATAGTTTTTGTTCGTGTTACTTGCAATACAAGTAACCAGAGAGAGAGAAAAAAAATGATGATTTTTGTATCAAGTATCTATTTTTGCATAAATTCTTCAAGGTCTTTGTGGATAAAACAACAAGAAGTTATTGCTGTGTGCATTCTTTGGGCTGCTCTCTGAGCTACAGAGGAAGATTCCACAACTCTCTATCTTTCATTATTCTACCACATTCCACTCCCTGGTCCCCATACGCTTGTAAAAGTATCATAATGCAAAATGCATTTAGTTTGACTTCAAAAGTCCCCATAGTCTAGCACAGTCTCAACAACGTTTGAAAGTCTAAAGTTCAAAGTCTCTTCTTAGATTCATGTATTTAACTATAATCTCCTGTAAAATTAAAATAAAAAAGCAGATCACACACTTCCAACATATAACGGCACAAGATACATATTACCATTCCAAAACATAGGGAAGGGAGCATATTGGGGAAATACTGGACCAAGGCAAGACTGAAAACCAAACCAGCTGGGCAAATCCAAAATCTGCATCTCCATAGCAGATGTCAAGACATTCTTCAGATCTCCAGCTTCTTTCAGCTTTGTTGACTGCAGCACACTCCTTTCCCGAGCTGGTTCCACTCCCTGTTATCAGCTCTTATGGGCAGATATCCCATGGCATCACCAACATCTTGGCATCTCCAAGGCAACCCAGGATTCACCTTCACAGCTACACAACATGGTCTCTCTAGGTCTCCATTCAGGGACACCCCTGACACATGCGTAACCTCAGCGGCTTTCCTTAGTCTCCGAGACAAATTCCCTAGCCCCTTTCTCGTATCCTTAATTCTAAAGCCAGAACCACACAGCTGAAGCTGCCACGTTCTGCTGCTTGCTTGACCGAACACGGCTCCCTCATTTAATCACATCTTCAACTTCCTGTTTTTGACAGCTTCCTTCACTGCCTAAGCTTGGCTGTCCTGAAACTGGATCAGTAGACCAGGCTGGCCTTGAACTCAGAGGTCTTTCAATTGTATCTTCACCAGCTTTCTGTTTTCAGTGATTTTCTTCACTGCCTAAGCTTGGCTGTTCTGGAACTCACTCTGTAGACCAGGCTGGCCTTGAACTCAGAGACCCACCAACCAACCTCTGCCTTCCCGGGGCTGGCATTAAAGGTGTGCACCACCACACCTGGCTCTGAGCTTTCCTTTCATTCCTTTTCACAAGTGGGAAAGTTAGCTGGGTGGGAACCTTCCCTGAGGTCACCACTTCCTTTAGTCCATTTTTTAGTTTGTTTATCTCCTTGAATACAGGACGTAGTTCCGTTTCACTTCCCGGTGTTCCAGTTCTCTTCAGATTTTACACTGTGTGTTTTTCCTTACTCTGCTTGCTCCGTTTCATTTTAAATCTTTCTTTTTTTTTTTTTTTTGTTTTTTCGTTCAGGGTTTCTCTGTGGCTTTGGAGCCTGTCCTGGAACTAGCTCTGTAGAGCAGGCTGGTCTCGAACTCACAGAGATCCACCTGCTTCTGCCTCCCGAGTGCTGGGATTAAAGGCGTGCGCCACCTTCGCCCAGCTCATTTTAAATCTTCATTAGAGTTAACACTAATAACAACAATGTGCCAGAACCTACGCTAGGCTGTTTGGAGATTTCCTCCGCTAACATAATCAGTCCAAAACTCTTCACTTCAGCCTCAGGTAGACTCTTCGGACAAGGGCAAAAGACAGCCACTCTCTTCACTAAAATATTACAGGAACGATTTCTGGGCAACACATTAAAATTCTCTGAAACCTCTCCAGCCACTTCCAGACATTTCAAATCATTGTCAGTACCATTGTCCAACAGAGTCCTACTAGTGTACCCCACTAAGACTGCTTAAAGCATTCCGCTTTCCTAACCCAGAGTACCGAAGTCCATATTACTCCAAACAAAAGCATGGTCAGGCCTATCACAGCAATGCCCCAGCAGAACTTGGTACCAATTTCTTAGTTTGGGTTTTTATCGCTGTGAAGAGACACCAAGTCCAGGGAAACTCTGATTTAAGAAAACAAACAACAAAACAAAACAAAACAAAACAAAACAAAACAAAACAAAACAAAACAAAAAACATTCACGGGCTGGAGGGATTGCTCAGAGGTTATGAGCACTGTCTGTTCAACTCCCACATGGTGGCCCCCAACCATCCGTAATGAGATATGGCGCCCTCCTCTGGCCTGCAGGCACGCATGCAGGCAGAACTCTGAATATATAATAAATAAATAAATAAATAAATAAATAAATAAATAAACAAACACATACATACATACATATATACATACATACATATTTTTTAAAAACAAAACATTGGGGTGCTCACTTACAGTTCAGAGGTTCAGTCCATTATCACCATGGTGGGGAGCAGGCAGACATGGTGCTGGAGCAGAGAGTGGTTGCTGTGGGAGCACATTCTGCTCCTTCAGCCAATAGCCTTTAAGATACCAGCTCACTGGGCTGTGGTCTCCTATACTTTAAAAAGCAGCGGGAACCGCGCACTCTCTTGCTTCAGGCTCCCATTCGGGCTTAGCTAGACTCTGTTTCCTGTTTGCAAGGAGAGGACTGTTGTTTGGGACGGTGATCTGTTTTTTTCCCCTCAAATAAATAACCTTTTTTATTATCCATAATTCTTAACTGGTGTGGGATTGTTTTGCGGCTCCAAGTGGTACAGCTTGCAGGCAATGAGAAGTCAACGGACACTCTTGAGCAGACCTGAAAGCCCACCCCCACGGTGACACACTTCAACAAGACCATACCTCCTAATAGTGCGCCCCCTTTGGGGGCCCATTTTCTTTCACTCTCTCTGTTCTGTCACTACAAAGTTCATGAAAACTGCTACCTCGTTGTTACATGGTATTTGGAGCGATCTAAATCTATGTTCCTGGGCCGCAGTCTCTCAAATTTAGCTTCTATTTCTTTGTCCTAACAGTTGTTGCTCCTGTCTGCCACAAAGTTGAATTCCACGAGTGAAGACATCCCATTCCTCAGTTGATTCTAAACAGAGTTCATATGCTATGTAAATCCAGTCATTTTGCACCTTTAAACTACTGATCCCCACGGAGCATAGTGATATACACCTGTGACCCCAGCATTTGGGATATTGAGACAGGATTGCTATGAGTTTACAGCCCGGGGTACATAATTCAAAGGCAGCCAGAGATACAAAGCCAAACTGTGTCTCAGAAACAGGAAAACGAAAGGGCTTGGGACAGACACGGTGACATAATGACAATGCCTCTAATCCCAGCACTCGGGAGGCAGAGGCAGAGGGAGGCAGATGTCTGCTGGTCTGCACAGTGAGGCCAGAAGAGAACATGAGACCACCAGAAAGCCAGCGTTACAGCAGGCTGTGGGCTGCCACGAGCCTGCTGGGAACCACGCTCAGAGCTGTCTCTCCAGTCATATAAAATACATCTTTAGAAAAGTAATAATAGGGGGCCAGGCTTGGTGGTGCACATCTTAAATCCCAGAACTAGGTAAACAGAGGCAGCTTGCTCTCCATAAGTTCAAGGCCAGCCTGGTCTACACAATGAGTTCCAGGATAGGCAGAGAGCTACATATTGAGACCCTGTCTCAAAAAAACTAGTAATAATGATTGAGAATGGAGAGATTGGGATAGCTTGGAGGTAGGGTGTTTGCTTGGCTTGCTCAAGGACGTGTTACATCTTCAGCTCCAAAAAAAAAAGAGATGTTCATAAAACTATCAGATTTCCATGAATTAAAAGTGCTGCCTTCGCTCAGCATGGCAGGAAGTCAGAAATAAGCAGATGCACAAGAGATACTCGAATAGCATATCTTTAATACTGTCTTCAAAGGTCTGCTCGCCAACTACAGTGTGCTCTGAAATATAAAATACGGTTCTCCTAAACCTAGAGAATTCTTCTGTATTTGTCTACTTAGAACATATTGTCATTTCAAACGTACGTAAGCTTTCTCACAGAGGCAGAACACAATCCACAGTGGGAACAGAAACTGCAAGAGTTAATTCTCAACACTTGAGGTCATAAACACAGCATGTTACTGTTGAACATAAGCCACTTGAAGTAAATTAGATATAATTTCTAATTTAATGGAAAAAAATCACTTTTATGCAATGTCTTGACCAAAATCAAACAGTTAAGGGGGAAATTACCATATTCTGATACAAACCAAACTCACTGAAATAATGTTAGAGGTTTGAATGCAGATGAACTACAGCTCTAGAACGAAGATGCCTTTAGCTAGGGGATAATGAGAATGTATCAGGAACCAGGTCCCGAGTTTATGTTTTGAAAGTGTGCAGACATGCCACGGTACACATGTGGAGGTTTGAAGACAACCTGTGGAGCTGGCGCTCTCCCACCTTTACATGGGTCCCAGGGGTCCCACTCGGGCTGCCCAGTGACCAGGCTTGTGTGACAAGCACCTTTACCCAGGGACCACCTCGCTGGCCCAAGTTTCACTTGCTGGTAATCAATACTTCAATTTGGGGACTTCACTCCCCAAGACACACTTCCAATTTTATAAAGCTATGGAAGAAAAGGATCCACTTTTTTAAAAATCTACTTTATGAAGTTATTGATTAAATATGGAATGACTTTTCTCTTCTAAAGACAGCAAAATATTGTTTTCCTCAAATGTTGACTTGACAGTTTATTTTGACAAGTGATTGAGAAAAATAAATGAAGCTCTGACTATAAATACAAATGTGTATGTACATCTCTATATTCTGAGTGGCTGTCCTATGATCTCTTACGCTTCTGATTTAAATTAGAATAAGTTCTCTCAATAAAGGACATTAATTTTAACTTTTAAACTTAAATCATCTTCACCGCACCATTATCCTCTCTACTTTTCATTTGTACATTATTTCTATAAATACTCAAATGAAAATCAATCCACCATCTTGAAACCAATATACAACATTATATTGGTGGTTTAAGAATTTTTTTAAATATTTTGTTAAAATGTAAAAACTCTGAAATTACAAACAAAAAATTTACAATTTTACAGTATATAACTAATTTATTTTAAAAAAATATTCTGATTTTTTTTTTTAAACAAGTAATCAAGTGCTATTTTTTCAAATGAACTCCTATAAGTAGGCTAAAAGGGAGCAGTGGTCTTGTCCCACTAATACATCTCATCTTTTCATGCTGGTACTTCAACAATTTCAAAGTAGTCGTGTGGGAGAATCACGTAGCCCCTTTCTGACGCATCATCTTTCTCTCTCTGGAAGTGCACGACTTCCTTTAGCTTTTCCAGCTGTCTCTCCTGCCTTCGGCACCGCTGCTGAGCAGTCTTGAGCTTCTTCCTGAGCTTTTCAACCTGCTGCTCCAGCTGCTGAATCCTCTTCCTCTGGTGCATCGTATCCTCCACGGTGTAATTGTGGTCACAGAAAACCGAGAGATTATCGGGGGTCTGGAGAGGAGGCATTAGCAGCCCAATAGCAGCATTGACCTGGGAGGTGGGGGGTGAAGGAGGAGAGGGAAGCTGTTCTTGGGGGTCCAGATCTTCCTTCTAGAATAGCAATATACAAGCAGATGTGAGTTTAGTTACTAAATAATGGCCTCAAAATATCTGCAGAGTTTTAGCATTAGACTTTGTCACTCCGTGGTACAGAAAATTCCAAAATGAGAAAGCAGATTGTCTTGGGGGTGGTTTTCACTGTACTGGCATGGATTTCCGGGTGCCAGGGCCTGAAGGCAAAGCTTTTTACCACTAAAAATATGTTTTCCAGGATAAAAGTTTCAACATTAGGCTTTGGCTTGTTTGGGAATTTTTTTAAACAGGGTCTTGCTGTGCAGTCTAGGCTGCCTCACACTTGAGCTCCTACTGCCTTGACTGCCCAAGTTCCAGGATAACAGGTAATGTGTAACCCTACCTGGCACCAGTTTAGGGTGGGTTTTGTTTGTTTGTTTTGGGGCTTCCTTGCTGTACAAGGGGCTGGCCTGGAACTTACTAAATTTATACCAAGCTAGCTCCAAACTTGTGGCAATTATATTGGTTTGTTCTCCCTGGTGCTCAGATTGCCAGTGTGTGCCACCATGGGGCCTTTTCAGTGCTAGTTTAACTTTTCTGTTTGAAGTTAAAGTGGGATTTGTCAAACAGACAAAGTGATTTAGTTAGATGTCAGCAAATACTAAACACGTAAAACAGGAGAAAAATAATTTGAAAAGAAATGTCATCAATAATGAAAAACAAAACTTATGAACATGTAAATAAAGACACAGAACTATTTTTAACTTACAAAACTTGACTGAGTTCTTCAGTGTGCAATATTTAATACTATTCTATGTTTTTAAAATTCTATGTTTTTAAAAAGTGTATTATTGTAACATGTGGGGTTTTTTCTTTAAAAAGATTTCTTTTTAATCACATGTATATTTGTGAGTGTATGTGTATGTCATTGAATCCCCTGGAGCTGGCATTCTAGGAACTGTGAGCCACCTGATATGGATGCTGGGACTTGAACTCAGGCCCTCTGGAGAGTAACTCTTGGCCACTGAGCCCCAACAGTGGTTGCTGTCCAATGATGGGTTTCAGATACGCTTGTTTTCTTAACCCTTCCCTGATTTCTACAAAATTTTCACCATGAACACATTAGCGTCATAAACTTTATAGTGTACAGCCCCAAACCAGTGCTTCTAGGATTTGGAAAGCAGAAGTAGGAAGATGGGGAGTTCCAACTCAGCCTCAGCTACACAAAGCTCAAAGCCAGCCTGGGCTATTTAAGCGCCTGCCTCCCGCAAGGGATATGAGGGGAGGAGAAGAGAGGGGGAAAGAAAACGAAATGACCCCATGTTGAAAGCCCGGGTTACCTTGTCATGTGGCTCAACACAGAGGAATATCGTGGGGACAGCATTCTCCTTCAGCAGCTTGTTGTTGCACTCTCTCTTAAAGCAGTCCGGGGTGAAGTGCTCCGAACAGATACTGCTGTACTTCGTGGGCTTGAAGTTCTTCCTTCTGACGGCTGCCTCCCACTGTTTGCAGAGACTCGGCCGGGTCAGAGGGAACCTGAGAAGACATGGCTGGCTTTAATAAATGGAATCACCTGCTCCTCTCCTGCTGTGACCACACTCGGGAGGATCTGACTGAAGCCTGCTCCAGTTACTTAGCTCGCTGATTAGGGTTGACCTTTTCACAATGAGACACACCAGCAGGCCAAGCAAACAGCCAGTGTGCACTACAGCTGCACACAAGTTTGTGTTCCGAGACAGACTGCTAGCTCTTCCTGAATCAGCCCCAAAATATTAATCCCGACTGTCTGAATTACAGGCAAATGATTAAGAAATAAAGGAAACATTTTATCACTTAACTCGTCCTAGGTAATGTTTACTGTCATCACGCTTTCCCACGTCAAACGACTTGGTGCTGTGCTGGGCGAAAAAGATGAAGAATGTTTCAATTTATGCCTCGTGATTACTCCGCCACACAGGTATGCCAGACCCTGACTACCCTTCTTTCCTGCACACCTAACCAATCTCCATGTTAGTGCTTGTGTCTTGCACAGCAGCTCTGCACTGCCAGTGCGCACAAGCTAGAAAGAAGTACAGAGCGGTGGGACTGCTTAGAAATCGTAGTCTCGAGTCTCCCAGCCTAGGAGCACAACTCTTCCAGGGCTGTCAAGACCTTTGCCATTGACTGCTCTGTTAGACAATGGGCAAGAGCTGTGTTGGCCCTTCTTTTGTTTTATTTTTCTTTTTTTTTAAACATTCATTTATTTATTTATTATGTATACAATATTCAGTCTGTGTGTATGCCTGCAGGCCGGAAGAGGGGACCAGACCCTATTACAGATGGTTGTGAGCCACCATGTGGTTACTGGGAATTGAACTCAGGACCTTTGGAAGAGCAGGCAATGCTCTTAACCTCTGAGCCATCTCTCCAGCCCTTGTTTTATTTTTCAACATCCAGCGGCTGAAATGATATTTTTGATGTGTGTCATCTTTAACTGTTCTCCAGATCTTAAGAGTTCCCCCGCCATCCGAACAGAAGCACAGGGAAGGGAGGTGACAAGCTGAATGCATATTCCTGTCACCTTGTCCTTATTTCCTCATCTAGTCCTACAGTTTGAAGATGTGTGAAATTTCAGAAATTCCAGTCAACCAAGAAGCAGTATTAGGAAATATTCTATCCTCTTCCCAGAGGGAAAACATCAGCACACAAATCTCACTTTCTTTCTACTAAACATTTTTTTTTTGCTAAACGCAAACAGTAGCCACCTCGCCAAAAAAAAAAAAAAAATCTGAAAGAACATTTTGAAATTTGCTTATGTAATTGTTTTGCTATGAATAACTTGTATAATTTATCAGTGAATCTGGACTCTTGGCTATCATCTGCACACAGTTAGGAATTCTTTCAGAAACCTAATGTGAAACATAAAATATCACATTTTGTGGGCATTACCAGTGTTACTAACTGTCGTTAGTAACGTTAAATTCTCCATCTTTCTTCTACTTTCAATAAAGTATTTTCACCTCAGGATTCTTGGTTGTGGTACCTACCACATGAGCCAGCCCTGGCAGCGGTGGGAAAGGCTGGCATTAGCTCCTTTACTGCGGCAGCTGAATCAAGTGCGTTACCTTCCTCATTAGCATCACCGTGCGTTGAAAGACTGGGGCTTGTCTTGGCAATACCAAGAACTTCCTCTAAAACCCAGAGACCTAGTAGGGTGGTTCCCTTGAAACCGGGTCTAAAAGTCTTCCCTGACGTCAACACTTTACTGCCGTGGTTCCCTGCCACCAACAGCAGCGAGGTCGGAACCCCGCCTTCCTCTTTATCCACAGGGAGCAAGCGCATCCCTGTGGACCATTTCCTCGGCGCGGCTGGTGACGAAATCGAGAAGGCTGCGAGAGACCTCTAGGCGTCGCTCGCGTCCCGGGAAGCCTCCGCGGCAGAGAAGTCGTGCCCGGAGCCTCAGCCCAGCCGAGCCCACGGCGGCGGTGGCGGCGACGCGCACCGGGGAGCGCGCAGGCATGGGTCCCCGCCCCCGCCGACCGACCGCCGGCCGGGGGCCCCGCCTTCTGCAGGTCTCGCGCGGACACGCGCCGAGCTCCGCCTCCGCCCGGCCGCGCGCCCCTCGCCCCGGCCGCCCCAGCACGCCAGTTACCTACTTGTGGAAGGAGACGGGCTTGTCCTTATCGTAGCGGTTCTTGCAGCCGTAGGCGGAACAGGACTGCACCATCCTTCCGGGCCTCCACACTGCCCTTCTGCCCGGGAGGCAGGTGAAGGGGGCTCTCGGTGTCGCCGCGCTCGGCTTTGACACGCTCGCTGCTCTCGGTGGCTTGGGTCAGCAGTTATAGCGACGATCGCCTCACTGGGGGGCGGGGGAGGGGGGTGACTACTCTGGCCGTTGTGTTGTTTGCTTTAGCAGAAAGACCACAGCTCTCGCCCGTCTCCCATCTTCAAGATGGCGGAGGCAGCTTCAACCTCACCTCTCGCGAGGAGTTCGCTCGTTGTCGCTGATTAGCCGAAGGTAACGTTCCCAGGGAAGCCGACCATTGGCTGAGGCCAGGCGAGGCTCTGGGGCGTGGTCACCAGTGCGGAAGTGGGTGGGCCCGTTGCGCTCTGGCCGGAAGAAAGGTTGTTTGGGAGCCACGCTGAAAAAGTTGGTGGTGTAGTGGTCGGTGTGGTTGATTTGTTCGTCTTTTTCTGCTGTAGCCTGGTAAAGAGCGGCAGATTGGGTCCGGAAGCCTAAAGAAAACGTGGGAAAGCGCTAGTTCCTGGTAACACGTATTTTTTTTAAAGGGCGGCCGCGGAGGTGTAATTTATACAAACCTGGGGGCCGGTTCAGAATCCACGGGGCCGGTGTCTAGTAGGGAACCCGGACAAAAGCACATTCCGTCTCAGTTGAGAAAGCAAAAGCACTTCTGAACGCTGTTACCGTCGTGTCGTGTGCTGTGCTGAAAATTGCGAGCTGCTGCAGCGATTCTTCATGCTGGAGAGAGGTTTTACATCCCCCCCCCCCCCCGTACTTTTGAAGCTGGAACACATTCTCCCTTATAGGCTGTTTTCCGGCCCTTTAAATATTGCTTCCCTCAGGGATCCATTTAATGCCCACCATTTCTGCAATACTTTGATTCTTGAACCCGCATACCATGATTTCCTAGCTCTTTTACTTCTACATACATGGGCTTGCCTTCCAAGTTACCAGGTATATGTATGGATTAATGTATTCAACAACTGCTTAAAGCCGAAACCCTGGTATCACTAAGATTTAGAAAAAAAAAAAAAAAAGGACTTAACTCAGTGATTAAGAGCACTTGTTAATTGATCTTGCAGTTCAATTCCCAGCACCCACATGGCAGCTCACAACCATCCCTAACTCCAGGGGATTAAGCACCAGGCACACACGTTGTGAACATACATATACACACCTGTGTAAGTCAGAGGACAACTTGTGGGCGTTTGTTGGAGGTTGTGGCAGCTGCAGCAGGTGACAGCTAGTGTTCAGATGTCAACTCACCAGAGGAGCAATTCTCTGATGGAGGAGAATCCTGTCTGGGAAAGGCCAGTGGGACCACCGACTTTGGAAACTGTTGCTCCTGTCTGTAATTTCACACATGCAAAAGACAGTTATGGTGTCTCCCTGATACCTGCGTTGTAGTGTGTAATCTCATGTGATGTGTAATGGTGGTAGTTTAGGGGCTGAGACTGGTCTGGGGAATGTGTGATATGAAGTAGGTGATCTAGGAAGGAGTCATTCCTCTCTTTCATTTATTTTTACATATTGTGCACCTAAATGCAACCGGCATGTTGTGTCTAGAACACATAGTGTACCACCCATCTTCATAGAACCTACATTTTACAGAGGAGAAGATGGAATAAAGACATAAATTACACTAAGGTGCCCAAATAAGGGGGAATTAAGAGAAAAGTTCAAAGGGCTGTAATGAGAGTAGGTATCCCATGCAAAGAACAAACATCTGGATTGGAAACCAGAGGATGGAATGCAATGAGCTGAGGAGGAGCATTCTAGGCACTGGGAGTGTGTGTTATAGCACCAGCTTGTGTTAGAAAGGATAGCCAGTAAAAAAGCCAGGCCGTGGTGGTGGAGCCCAGCTAGGAGAATAGCGTGAAGTGAAGATGAAGGATTCGAGTATGAGTTTGGATGAAGCTCAGTGGGAGGCCACTGAGCCATTTCAAGCATTAACCAATTAACCTTTTTTGTTTGTTTGTTTGTTTTTGTTTTTCGAGACAGGGTTTCTCTGTGGCTTTGGAGCCTGTCCTGGAACTAGCTCTGTAGACCAGTCTGGGCTCTGTAGACCAGTCTGGTCTCGAACTCACAGAGATCCGCCTGTCTCTTCCTCCCAAGTGCTGGGATTAAAGGCGTGCTTAACCAATATTTTTAAAAGGTAATTCTACCTATTTTAAGAGCTGGAGAAGGCCACAATTCAAAAACACTAATTAAGAGGCTGTTGCTGGTGAACGAAGAGACTGGTGGAGACTGGGAAGGGGTGGGAGCACCTTAAGCTGGGGACAGGTTGTAAGACTGAGGATGTAGGAAGAAAAGGTTAAAAGTGTTAGTAAACAGGAAAGGCCCACTAAGAAAAAACTTGGTGGTCCAAAGAATAGTGTCTCCAGCCTTGGTGAAGAGACCTAACCACCCAGTTGGGCCAGGTCAGCCAATCACCTGACCAAGGGCTACTCCTAGAAAGACAGTCACCTTAAGACATGATAAAGAGGTAGGTAGGACAAGATTCTGTACTTAACCTTCCCAGAATCCCTGCCCTAAGTGCTGCAGAGTCCTTGTACAGCCATGCAGTTTACATCTGCCTACTTTTCTTCTGTCTCCTTATTTTCACTTTTCCTTCCAGAGTCTCACTCTATGCTAGCCCCAATTTATGTAGCTTAGAATGACCATGAACTGATCTGCTTCCCTCTACTTCCTGTGCGCTGGAACCACACCTATGATCTCACCAGTTGTGCTAGGGGTTCAACCCAAGGATTCATGTGTTCTAGGGAAGCACTCTTCCAATTTAGCTACATCTCCAGCCCCATTTTGTAGTTTTTAAGGTGACATTCCAGGGTGCTGGAGAGATGGCTCAGGTTAAGAACATTGGCTGCCTTTCCAGGGGTCCTGAGTTTAATTCCCAGCAAGCACATGGTGGCTCACAGCCATCTGTAATGAAATCTGGTGCCCTCTTCTGGCGTGCAGGCATACATGCAGGCAGAACATTGTATACATAGTAAATAAATTAATTTTTTTTAAAAAGATAACATTCCAACTGGCTAATCTGGAATTTGTCACCTTGATCAGCCTAGCCTTGAACTCAAGAGGGATCCACCAGTTGAAGGCCTGTGTCATCACATCCAAGTCCCAACGCTTTGAAAGGGTTGGTGAAAATAAACCAAATGTCCACTAACAGTTTAACGAATAAATGTGGCACAGCCCACAATCGGTAGCAATCAAAATAATGAAGCTAATAATGAAGCTATGGGCTGGCCATGTAGCTCAGTTGGTAGTGCTTATCTTGGCATGCACTTAAAATGGGCATGAGGACACACAGTGTAAGAGACAGGAGGATCAAAAGTTCAAGACCATCCTGAATTATGAGACCCTCAAACAAAAATACCAGAACCCACAATGGATGATTTCTACACTCATAATGTTGAAGATATCAGACAAAAAAAATAACATGTTTCAAAAATATGTAGATGAAACTATGGTCAGGAGTGGTTACTTCAGAGGAAAGATGCAATTAACAGGGTGGTGGCCAGTTTATTGATTGATGGTGCTGTATGGCTAATTAAATCAACCTGGCTCCAGGAACCTTACATCTTAAATGACTCTAGAGTACTTGGCTTTCTGGGGAAGAATAAAGATGTAACACTGCTGTCATGGAAGAGTTAAACCAGACGGGCTTGTCAACCACCTACACAAGACAAAGACCCTCTGAAAACTGTTCTGTTTAGAAATGGAAGAAATATAGATCAGTACAATGGGCCCTTTGGCCTTTGTGCACTCTTAACCTCTTGAGACTGCTCTACTTTACTCTGTAAAAAGTACTCTACAATAAAGCACCTGTCTTTTAATCTCTGTGTGCGTCATCTCAGTTTTTTCCTTTTGGGGGGAGGGGAGGCAAAGATGAAAGGGATAGGGAGCTGAGGAGAGCCCAAATTAAGAAGACCCTGGTAAGGTGGATCTCTGTGAGTTCAAGGCCAGCTTGGTCTACAAGAGCTAGTTCCAGGACAGGAACCAAAGCTACGGAGAAACCCTGTCTCGAGAATCCAAAAAAAAAAAAAAAAAAAGATCTCTGTGAGTTCAAGGCCAGCTTGGTCTACAAGAGCTAGTTCCAGGACAGGAACCAAAGCTACGGAGAAACCCTGTCTCGAGAATCCAAAAAAAAAAAAAAAAAAGAAGACCCTGGTAATAACATAGTTTATACAATTTTTGGTGTTTATTAAAGACCTTATTAAATAGGGGCTATACAAAAGGTGCAAGCCTGCTCTGCTCTTTTCTTAAAGGAACAACAAATGTTCGTATACTCATTTGGTCTATTCATTGATTTTTCAATAAATATCAAAGGTTAAACTGGCCATTAAAGGGAAAAAGAATAGAAATAAGTGTGCTAATTCTAACTAACATTTTGAGAGACCAAGAATTCCATTTACTGATAGAAGACCATACAAGGAAAAATGAAAAGCCAGTTCCAGACATGAAAAGGCTACATTTTAATTGGTGGTGGTTGTAATAGTGTAGCATCCCTATAAAGGAAGAGGACTGTGAAGCTGAGGCCAGTCTACATGGTGAGGTACTGTCTCAAAAGTGCTTTTACATGAGTGAAAATAGCTGGGTGTTGGTGGAACACACCTTTCATCCAGCACTTAGAAGGCAGAGGCAGATGAATCTCTTGAGTCTGAGGCCAACCTGCTCTACAGAGCACCGCCGTGACTACACAGAAAAAAAAAAAAACCTCTAAAGAAACAAATAACATCGAGACCAGCCTGGTCTACAGAGCTAGTGCCAGGACAGGCTCCAAAGCCACAGAGAAACCCTGTCTCGAAAAACCAAAAAAAAAAAAAAAAAAAAAAAGAAACAACAAAAGACAAAGGCTAGGAGAAAGCAAATACACAAAGTATTGCAGTTGAAATATACTTTAATACCATGTTTTCTCAGTTATAAACATTCAAAGATGTCTATAATTTAGAAGAAGAAAAAATGAGCCATCTGGTTTTCTGTGAAACTGCTGTGAACTGTGCCTCCCCCAGGTCCCCACACTGAAGCCTAACCTCTGTTGTGGCAGGTAGAGGTGGGATGGAAGATAAGACCTTGGGGAGAGTCCTCATGAATGAGATTAGGGTGCTTGACAGAGACAGGCCATTACCAGGACCCAGATGTGCTAGCACTTTTACCTTGGGCCAAAGTGCCCGAACAAGTGTGTATGTGTACATGCACACATGCGAGTATTCGTGAGTTTATGTGTACACGTGCATCCTGGAGTCCAAGGACACCAGAAGAAGGCATCAGATCCTTGGAATGGGTGACTCCCATTGTAGAGGGTAGGAAGCTGCGTCCTGCTAGAGCAGTGATCACTCTTGATGACTGAGCCATCTCTCCAGTCTGTATTTTAGATGAAACATTCGGGCTTTCTAGACTGTACTTTCAATGTGTGGGGGGAAAGGTATAGTACTATTTTTTTAAAAAAAAAAAAAAAAGCTTTAATGTGGGATTCACAAATAGGTTTTGAATCCCCAGAAAGTGAGTGCTCACTTTATACACAAACACACTTGTATAGTGTTAGGATCCAGCATGACTGACCATAGCCACTTTGATTTTAACTGCCATTTTGTAGTTAGCGAATGATCCTGTCATTGATTCCAAACCATATAAACAAAAGTTGTTAGATGTCAGATGTTGGCCTGGGCTCCAAGGTAGAGTATTTGCCTAACTGCACAGGCTTCGGCCTTGGTCTCCAGCACTGTACCACCAAAATTAAAAGGAAAAAGGTCAGCCCGGCATTTTATGCTGGCTTCTGATAAGATATCCAAATTCTTAACTGGCAATTTAGTGTTAGTATTTTACAAGAAGGCCACATTTGTATAGTTTAGCATAAGCCCTATTCTTTCTGAGGTGCAGCTGCCATAGGTTACTATTTTTCTGAATATTGGTTATTTTTTCCTTTGGTGTATTAAAACTATCTGGGTTGGGAATGTAGTCCAAGCTTGCCTAGTATAGACAAGACCGTAGGTTTGATTCCAAGCATAATAAATAAGCTAATTAAAGTCCAAATTATTAGATGTCAGCGACCTTAAAACATCTGATGGAGCCAGCAAGACGGCTCAACAAGTTCAAGACACTTGCCACCTAGCCTAATGACCTAATTCAATCTCCAGATCCCACAGTGTAGGAGAGAAATGATCTGTAATTTGTCCTCTGATCCCAAGTGCAGCGGCATGCGTGTCATAGCATAAACATCTTTTTCTCCATCTGTCCCATAATCCTTTACTACATCATGGTTTATGTCCTCTGAAAGACTGTTGTGAGAAAGCCAAGCACGGTGGTTCAGACCTGAAATCCCACTTTTGGGAGCTGGAGACAAGTGAATCAGCAATCCAGTGCCACCTAGCGATGTGGTAAGCTTGAGGCCAGAAAGACTAAACAAGACCCTTCCTCAAAAAGGATGGGGAAAGACGATAGCCCCATATTCTCAAAGAATAAACCCTGCACTATATGGGACTTTGAGCAGATAGTTTGTGTTTTGAGGCAAAGTCTCACTCTATAGCCCAGACTGGCTTCAAACTTGCAATGATCACTCCTCTGGAGTGATGGGATTATAAGCATGCACCACCAAACTTGAACTAGATGGCATGTTTCTTCACGGTGCACCCATCCTCTCATATTGGGATATGGGATATATCAGAAGATGCAGACAGTGGCTGGTAAGACCCAAGTTTGCTTAAGGTCAAGGATTGAGTGCATACAGCCAATATTAATGCCATGAAATGGGTTAGGCCCCTGCTGGCAGGCCTCTAAGCTTATTGACCCGACACTGGAGATTTCTTAAGTCATAGTGTCTAAGAGCAGTGGTTCTCAACCTTCCTACCGCTGCAACCTTTTAACAAAATGTTGCTCATGTTGTATCCCACAGCCATAAAAATTATTTTGTAATTTTGCTACTGTTAAGAATTTTAATATAAATATTTGTGTTTTATGATGGCCTTAGGTAACCTGTGAAAGGGTTAACACTCAGGTCTCAACTCACAGGTTGGGAACCACTGGTCTAAGAGCCTCTTAGACCTCTTGCTTCTCCACAGCTGAGTCCCAGGTTTATGGACCAATTATAGTTTAACAAAATGGAGGGGTATAGAGTATATTCATTGTACACTGGAACTGGGGGTAGGGCAATGGATGCTACTGCAAACATGGGGATGCACAGTCAAAATGTGATATTCAATGTACAATGTAGACAAGGCAGAAAAGAAAGCCAGGAGAAGTAATAAAGTACAAGCTTTTAAAATCTACATTCTACCTTGTTTTCTTTTTATCTAACTTTAAGAATGTTGCCAAATGTGGCAATGCATGTCTTTAATCCCAGCACTCAGGAGGCAGAGAGAGGCGGGAGGATCTCTGAATTTGAGGCCTGCCTGGTACACACAGTGAGTTCCAGGCAGCTAAGGATACATAGTGAGACGCTGTCTCAAGCAAAATGAACTAAATTAGTTGGGAATGTAGTCCAGTGCTTGCCTAACATAGACAAGGCTCTGGGTTTGATTCTAAGCACAATAAACAAGCCAATTAATATCCAAATTATTAGGTGCCAGTGACCTTTAAACTTCTGTTGGAGCCAGTAAGATGGCTCATCAAGTTAAAAGCACTTGCCACAGAGCTGAAACAATCACATTACTTTATTAGGCTAATGGTTAAGTAACCATGGACTATCTATTCCACAAAATGAATGAAGTATTGGTACCCACACAACCTGGATAGTCGTCAAATCATGATGAAAGTTTTAAAAAAAATCACCAAAATACTCAAAGGGTTGCAAATTATATATTTTTGTAACAACTGCTCCCAGCCCCTAGACTATACCTTTGACTGTTCCAGAACACACTATATAGACCAAGTTGGCCTTGGAACTCAGAAATCCTTTTTGCATCTGCCTCCTGAATGCTGGGTTTAAGGTATACACCACTATGCCAAACTATTATTCTTGAAAATGACAAACTTGTAGAAAGGAGAGATTAGTGATTCCCCGCAGTTAAGGTTATGGGGCTGGGTGGTGGTAGCCCACGCCTTTAACCCCAGCACTTGGGGGACAGAGGCAGGTGAATCTCATTCGAGGCCAGCCTGGCCTACAAAATGAGTTCCAGAATAGCCAGGGTTACTCAGAGAAACCCTGTCTTGAGGGGGAATATGGGGAAGGGAAGAAAAATATCAGTAAAAAAGTATATGTGATGCTAAATTGTGGTGATAAAACTCTCCTATAAAAGTCTTGACTATAACAGAATCAGTATCTTGGTTCTGATTCTAGTTGCTAATACCAATTACTGTACCGTATGTACTATAGTTTTATGAGATGCTACCATGGATGAAATGGTAAATTATACACAGAATCTTGTATTATATCTGATACTGCATGTATATCAACAATTGTCTTAAAAGGCTTCATTTTGAAGATTAAACTGTTCTCAGGGTTGAGTTTGCCAGGAAAGAGGAGAGAAAGACTTTCTGAAAAGAAAGACAAACTGAAATTGGGTCAGCAAAACTTGAATGCAAGACGTGTGCTAGCCTAGGAATGAGTGGCCAGGGCCAATTCTAAAGAGATACTGTTTAAGAACTAGGTACAGTGGCTCACCCCTGCAATCCCGAAAAGGTCACCACGAGTTTGAGACCAACCTGGTTTACTTAAACTAACAGGGCTCCATGGTGAGACCCTGTCCGAACAAAGAGGCATTGAGGTAACTTCAACCTTTTGTATGCAGAATAACACACTGCCAAATTAAATAATGTTTTATTAAAGATAAAACAAGTTGTTTTCAAATTTAAGAATACATAAACAGAGGCCAGGTGTTGTGACAAACACCTCTGGTTCCAGCACT